GATGGCAGTTGTCATGTTATGGACTGGATCCTTAAAACTTGCCAGTGCTCTACCCCAATCCAATAATATTTTGGAAAAATCTGGTAAGATTAAGTAATTTACAATATATTTATCTTATTGTTTATTGTTTTTTCAAATGGAAAACATGTTCGAGTTGCTTCTCAGAGTCGAAAATCACTCGGTTCCCTTCTTTCTAGACCCGAATCGCTGCACCTAAGCATCTTGAGCTAGCGTCTTCATTTTCAATCATTGGTAGTGTCTGTTATATGGTATGCATGTGAAGTGGGACACTTTGGATAGTAAACCATTGGAATGTATACAAATGATTTTACTTTACTTCACTTAGTTTGCGAACGTAAACAAAACGAAAGCAGCGTGTCATTGCATATTTTAATGATTATGTAGCCTACGGTACAGAATTGAGTAAGATTTTTGTCGAAGCCGAGAGAAATAAAACCTTACATTAGAATATTTACTAGTGTAGTGGGTTTAGTATAATACGGATTATTAACAACATGTCGAAACCCGCATTCGTGATACGATGTGGTGTTGGATACCATGAATTTAGACACAGGTGTTACTTATGTAATAAGTTTTCCACGAATATTATATCTACTAAGGATATTGGTATGGCAAAATTTTTATTCAAGGTAAAGATTGTTGATTGATAAATCTAGAATTTAAATTTTGACTGTTTCAATCATTAATTGTCGAAGTTGACCCACCATTGACCAGCGGTCAAGCATTCTTTTATGTATAACGCATCAATCCCTTAAAATCTTTATAATTTTTTATATTAATTGAAATTTAATCTTCAAAATAGAACTAGTTGTTAAGAAAGATTTTAAATCGACTATAAATAAATATAAGTATATAAGAAATGACCTTTCACAATGGGTATCAATTTGGTAAATGTTCGATTGAAATTTCTCGGAGGCCAGTTTGGTAATATTAAAACAAACTTATAAAATTGTCCTCAGGTAAAAAGCAACACAGTAAG